CGGCCGGGGGGCCGGGGGGCGGAGGAAAGCCGTAGCCCCTTCCCCAGCTCTCCCCTGAAGTCAGCAAGAGACTTTCTGTGGATTTTTTTTCTCCTGCTGACTCCAGTGAGACTGAGCTGGAGCCTGTGCACGCTGAAGGGGTGAAGGGAGCCATCAAAGGCACCGTGGTAGCTGTTCCTTTAGTCGTCAGGGGAGCGATTCCCACTCGCGGTGACACAAGCTTGCTTACCCCACCTATATGCATCTTAACGCCTCTAGGCAACTCAGGGGGACAACTCAAACAAGTCTGTTTTGGTTTGGGGGCTTAAAAACCCCAAACTGGTATTTCTGTGTATCTAGTGGAAGTGGCATCATGCATTAACTGCTACGCTTGACCTGTCTGTATTTTACCAGCCATAGAAATGTGGGACAATCTGTTAAAAACACAACCTCTTTTGGGGAAGGTGCTTGATTTGGGCGTTTTTTTCGTGTCTTAGATGTCCCAAAAAAAGAAAAAAAAATTAAAAAAAAAAAAAGAAAAGAAAAGAAACTGAACAGGCACTCTTGCAACCAAGTGGCTAGAGCAATTCATCCTCACTGCCCGAGGCCTGCGGTCTCGTGTCCTTCCTCTGCCTCAGCACTTTATCACGGCCAGCAGAACCTCGCTGCGTTGCACCCAGGACTGGAAAGACCCCTTAACAGAGAACGAAGAGTTTCGTGACTCAGTGAGCAAATGAACCCATTAACGACGTCGCGTTAAGATGTGCTTTTTAATTTATTTGTTAATTTATGATACTTCAAGCGTTTTGGTAAACGTTCTGTAGACTGTAAGATGATGGAAGTCTTTTTGTGATAACGAGACCTCACTACAGCACTTTGCTATGACAACTCTGCTTGGAAGTGGAATCAGGCCTCCAGGTTTTGCGTGTGTGTGGAAGCTCCCTGTTCTGCAGGTTCCCCGAGGTTCTACTGTAACTTAACTTGACGTTTTGGGTTGGTGTTTGTTTGTTTTTTTAACAACAATTTCCAATACAGATCAAATCATAGGTTTGTCACTGACCTCACCGTACGTTTCTGTTCCTGTCTGTGCACGGCACGAGCAGGGGAGCGAGTGAGTTTGTGTGTGTGCGGGAGACCCAGGAGCAGGCTTTAATGTCTTCAAAGCAGGACTTGCTGCTCTTTGTAACAGACCGTGTGGACTCTGGAAATACTCTAAAACACTGAGTTTTGCAATAAGCTTTTCCTTTTTTTTTTTTTCCTTTTGTTTTTTTTTTTTTTTTTTTAAAAAAAAAAAATAAAGAAAATGACAAAACTTCCCTTCTCTCGCTCTCCTCCCTCCCGAGGACAAGGCTGAGCTTGTCCTGGGGTCTTCCCCTCCCCAAGGGCCCTCGCCCAGCGTGGCTGTCACATGCTGCTTCCTCAGCCTGGAGGGGTGTGTTTACCCTGCAGATTGGGCAACCCCACTTTAAATGAGCTGCTTGGAAGCTGGTAGATTAGTGCTGACCTCAAGGGTTCTCTTGTAAACCCTTACCCAGGGAGGCCTGATTAGAAGGAGCCTTTTCTTCTTCTGATTGGTAACTGAATTGGTGGCACTTGGGAACATTATCCTCATGCCTTCAAGAAGCACACAATCATGTAATTATTTTATCATCTCTGAATTCCAGAATATTTTCTCCGTGCCAGGCTAGGCGGCTCGTATCAGAAATCAAGCTACTAAATAGCAGGATAAGTTGCACTAAAGGGCAATTTTCTCTCCCTCAGAACTTATTCCTTTTCACACCAGCTGAGACATCCTTCCCAGCTTAGCCTGCAGCTCCTACCCTCCCCAAACCCTGCAAGGAGCAATGCTGCCATGCCACTTAAATCCAAATAGCACTGTATCTGTCAGGTTTGCAAGTGAACTACTCGTTGAAGGGATCCTCACACCACTGATCCCACCACTGATAGGTATTAAGTGCAATTTGTTTTCCTTCTGGTTGCAAAAGTCCTAGAACAGGGTGATCACTCATGCAAAAGGCACAGACTTAACGCAAATACCAAAGTCCTGGGCAGCTAATCTGTCACCACATTTCACTCTGGCTCAGCTGCAGCAGTGAACAAACATTATTTGCAACAGCTTCCTCAAAAACTTCCCTTATCCCCCCCAAAAAAACCAAGCATGACAAAGGCTGAGCACCGTTCACATAAATAAAAGCACATAAAGCTGTGACTACCAGGGAGAAACAGTTTTGAGTCATTTTTCCCACCCGGTGTAAAGGAATTGCCCACGACTTCCTCTGTGATCCTGGCACAAAGGCATTAAAGCCAGAACAAAATAGTGCAAGAGGACTTATTTTTATTCAGTAGTGTTGTGTATGTACTTTCTACCAGTAAATAAGAGGACAACACGGGGCAGAACTCACTTCTGCAAGCCTTGAGTATTCCTCTCCAACACGGTTGTATAAACTCTTGTGGTCAATGAGGCCAGTGCCAGCCAAATGTAAATAAAGGAAATTACACAAGGTCAGCTTGCAGAAGGACAAAAAGCCCTCAGACCGTACGTATCTCTCCTTTCTGAAGCAGAAGGGAAGCTGTCCAGTGAGCTTGTTTGTTGTTTTGGGGTCTTTTTCTTAAAAAAAAAAAAACAACACACCAACAAAAGCATTTTCCCATTTGAAATTAAAGGGAAGAGCAACCTCTTGTTTTTTTTCACTTGTGTTAGATAAACCAACATCAGGTTCTTAAGGGGACAAATGCCTCTTTAAAAATAGCTAAACTGGTTTTGGAAAAAAAAAATAAAGTAGGTGCTTACAAAACAACTGGAGTGTTTTAATGCTTCCCTTCAGATGTTACTTGTTAGCATGTGAGATCATCATTTTCCAGCTGCCCGTAGTAAACATGACCTGAATTTTCTCAGTGATGCAAGCCCCAGCAGCAGCCTTCCTCACACCCTCTTTAAAGCTCATCTTCAAGATGCTTCACAGGTTGGGTTTAGGAAAACATCCTTTGAACTTCTGCCTTGGTTTGAAGGAGGAGAGAGACAGCACTGCTGCCCCAGGGGTTATTTTATATTTGATGTCCACTTCAGAAGCCAGGAGCCTGGTTCCCCCGGGGATGCCCCACCAGTGACAGGCAGCACAGGCCCCCCCCAGGCACCCCAAGGTGGGTGGCAGTTGGAGAAGCCCATCCAGGCGACCTCAGGGGATCCTGGCAGCCAAGCTCAGGAGTTCTCCCCTCCCTGCTTTCACTCACACCGACTTTTCCTCGCAGGACGTGCAAACCCGTGGCCCTGCTAGCACAAAGCTAGCAAATTGCAGCGAGCCACCTCATAAATCAAACACAATCCCCCTCCCTCCTTCCTGCTGCAGTTGTCAAGCTCCAGTTACAACAATTTGTGGTAAAATATTACTCACCAGCCCTTTGGCCCGCGTGAGCGGCTCGGCCTCCGTAAAGACAGCCCCCTAAATCACTGCTTTGTCACAGAAGCCACAAGCACAACCAAAAGACTTATTACACGCAGACATTATGAGAATAAGGCCGAGGAGACAATAGTTCCCCTCGCTTCCTTTTTGTCAAAGCTTTCATTAATGTCGTGAACATCTTTAGCTACTTTATCCGCTGCCGGCCGCTTGCCGCAGTGGGCCTGGCAGAGGAACGGCCCAATCCAGCCCCGAGGAGCCCGAGCTGGGCCATGGCAGAGCGGGGTGCTGAGCATCACCCTGCTCTGGTACCCTGCGTCCTGCCTCCCCACTCCTCTGAACCTCTTTTACCCCCACCAGCTTGCATCTGGGCTCTGGGAAATGGAGAAACAAGGTGCCCGAAGCACGTGGTGTGGCTGGGGCTTTATTTGAGAGGCTGTGAAATGAGA